TTTTTTTTGTATTATTATTAAATGAAATTTAGAATAGTCTGTAATTTTTTCAAGTAGTTCTTAACATATTGCATTTGCCTTACAACCTCCTTAATTACTACATCGATCTGTTTGATGATATCGCATTTCTTTCTGATTACTATTGATTTAATACTGATTACTATTGATTTAATGAACAACACTTACCATCGTTATTGGAACTGCCTTGGAAAACGTTGCCAGCATTCGGAATGTGATAAGTAACCGGTATTTCAGCGGTTACTATGGGCTCGTCCAGTCCCAGCAACTGTTTCCGCGCCTGGTAAATATTACTCGCCTTCCTCTCGATTCCCTTGATAATGACAGAGAGCGTACTCTGTTTCGGCTTATGACGTACGTTGATAAATACGTCCAAAGACTGCATTAGCTGGGAGATCTTTTCCGCATCCACCGAAGCAGTCATAGAATCTTCTGGCAGATCGAACATAAGTACCAGTGGCAACGAGCCCTAAACACGCAATTATCGGCATGATTACATACAAGTATCATAATTATTGTCATTATTAAAAAATATTTACAGAAAACTGAATTGTAGAAAGAGAATACAAGTAGAAATAGTTTGTAATCAAATATATATAAATTAAATATATTTTGAGTCTTTCAAGTCCTGATTATTTGATATATTACGAGTTATATAATAGTCAAAAATTACTGAAATTGGGAGAAAACTGTAAAAATTAGAAGAATATTGTAAAAAGGAATTTTAAGTATAGAGAAAGAGTAACTCTAAAAAATAAAAACATTTATAGGAGAAAAAGAGAACTCGTTTAGAAGAAAAAGAGATTAAAATTGGAAATTAATTCTAGACAGCCGGATGTATAAACATATCGACTTACTACTAATTGTTGTCTAGCCAAATATACATTATGTATATCTCCAGTAATAGTAACGTTGCTTTTCTTGAGACTGGGTATATTCGGATCGCCGGCATCAGGAAACATAATCTGCGTGGCGGTACGTTGCATAATCATCTTCAAATTGCTACTCTGTTTCCCTAAGACGATGCTATGGTGTTGAGGTGAGATCTCCATCGACATTTGTACTTGGATTTGACTCTACGAAAAGAAACATTTGAAAAAAAGAAATTAGTTTCTGAATAAAGAATAGGAATTTGCGAAAAATATAACAAAAATACTAGTTACTTTTTCCACATCGACTTTTCGGTAAAAATTAAGAAAGAAATTGATAGATATTTTGGATATTTTTAATTATCAAATAAAAAAACTATTTTTGTAAGAAGTTAAAATAATTTCAGATTTAATTTTCCCAATTTTAAGAATAATTTGTTCAATCTCTCTCTCTCTCTCTCTTGAAAGGACAAGGTGGTTTGTCGATTACTTTTGCTACTCACAGCTAAATTTTTGCACATATGACGAATCAGTAGTTGCGTCGCTTCTTTGACTTGAGAAACTTCCCACTCACATCCCTTGACTACTACTAGGGTAGCGTGCAGCTTCGGTCTTGTACGAAACATCACCTGAACATTGAACTTATCTTGTATCTTCACCACGTACGGCGAAGTGCAGTCTGGCATACTCTGCGAAGCGCCCATTATAGGCAGCTCAAAGGAAAAGATCAGTGGCGTCAGGTTCTAAAAAAGATAAGAACGTAAGTCGACATTTCTCGAACGTTTTATCTTGAGGTGAGTATTCATGAGCGAACCAACAACGAATGAACTATGAATCTAAATGTTTACTAGAAAACGTGAAAATTCAAATGAGACATTTACCAAATGTATAAACAGAGTATTCATTAGCATTCGATGGTCGTTCAATGTGTGTTCGTTAGTGACCCACATTTATATAGGATCTCCCAAAAATCTCCCACTACTTTTTTACTTTTGAGCAGAAATTTTTATTTTATCGCATAACATAATAATATTTTAGATAACATTACATTCTTGGTATTCAAGCCTGAAATAGAAATTCTCAATTAACGCGGCGTTCAATTAATTGAGAAATAAGATTTTGACTTCTCTCGAAATGTAATGACATCTTGCATCTGTAGCATACAATTTCCGATCATACCGAATATAAATGGATATCCGACGTAATGTTGTTTTCACAATAGCACAATTTCTAGTGTTCGGTAAAGTGATCATCGAGTGTTAAAGTGGTACATCTTTTGGGATATCCTTGACGCACGTCTTGCGAGGAATCTTACCCTAACACGAGCGCGAGCGCGTTCGACGCTCTCCATCTCGCCAGCAATGGAGACCTGATTGCTCTTATCTTGGTGATTGCTGCGATTGCTGTCTGGGAAATGGATGTGGCAACCAGTTTCCTCCATCACTCGTTTAATCGTCAGACCACCTTTGCCGATGATATGCGAATGATCGGTGTAACTAACATCCAGCTTCATGGTTACTCTGTTACTTTGCTGAAAATCGAATTGAGAAATTGACTCCCTGTCAAATTGACCTTTTTTTTGCAACTCTATATATCTTTATCGCTAATTAGTTTCGATTCGTTATTTTAATCAACTTGCAAATATTCTCGGTTTTATTACTTCAGGAAATTATTTCCTGTTTAAATTCTTTGAAGTGAAAGCTCACTTTAAAGAGTAAAAATTGAGCCAGTCTTGAAACAGAGTGACTCAATTTTCAATCTTTAAGAACGAGATGATATTTTTCAGAATGAGATTTACTTTAAAAGTTTTAGAGAGTAGATAAACGCAATCTATATCATATACCGACAAATTAATGTCTATTAATAAAATTAATAAAATAATCTTAAAAAATAGAACTTGTATTAAAAGTCTTTAATTAAATGTATATTTACCAAAAATAAAAGCTTTGAAAAAAATTTAATTCTGGATCTGATATTAGCAATTGGAATATTAAAATGACATTAATGATAATGATATCTGTCGAAATGATCTAAAGGTAATTCAGATAAGATTCGCTTTGATAAAAATTGAAAGTGCTGTCTTAATGGTATTTTATTAATAATACTATTACACTAATAAGAATTAATGGAAAACCAGAGAGACACGTTTCTGCCAACATAGTAAGAGGTACTTGAGTAAAATCTGTATGTGTATAAAACGGCAATTCTGTATCATTATACCAATCGGCTACCGAGAGAAAGTGCGATAGTATCTCCTATGATATTTATTTTATTCAGCATATTTATTCATCCGACATGTTTACTCTTGCATTACATTCTACGCGAATGTAATCTCTTCAGCAATTTACATTCGTTACACTTTGTATTTCTACTATATAACTTCAAGATCGTTGATTTTACGTGCGTGAGCTTCTCGGACCATATCGCCGATCCGCCGAGGACTCGTGCGCGCAACTTTAGATATCGCGTGGCTGAACATTACATAAAGTCACGCGATAACGTCGCGCGATCCGCCGTGCGACTTTAGGAACTCCTTCCTGTATAACGAGTCATCGTCGTTGTATCGCTTCGCTCGCAACGAGGCCGAGCATCTCGAAACGTTTACTTCGTAATGGTAAAATCGTGATAATTGCGAACGCAAAGAGATATTTGTAAGAGTTAAATATTAAACAAACGCTCTTCGCGATAAAAAAAAATAAGACGGTGCTAATAAATTCAACGAAAATTTGCAGCTCTTATATATTTCATTAAATTCTACTGGACAAAATTCGGCTGTAATTTATGCATCAGGTCTCATACGAATATAAGGATATTTCATAGCTTGTTTAAAAATAATTTTCAAACATATGTAATAATTAATCTTATTTATTAATCACATATAAAGTGTTATTTGGATAGTGATGTCGAAATAACGGAAGAAAGAACCATGATGATCCGCCTATACCATCTTTTTTCGCTAGTTTAAACATTCATCACGTTTCGAAAACGCAACCAGATAGATGCAACTGCGATTTCGAAATTCAGGACGTCGACATCCTGGCGTCGGCGCGAAAAGATATTGGATATCTACGCACGTGGCAGACTGAGCTCTATAAATATCTTTGCGCTATTTACGCGCCATTCCGGTGGCCCGTAATTAGCGCTATATATACAAATGTTGCTGTCGTGCTACTTTTGCATGCCTGACGCAAAGCATGACATCTATTTTAAAGTGTCCGTGCACTTGCCGCGATTGCAATTGCGAGAGTAGATCACGCAAATTGTAAGGAAGAGGGGGAGAGGGACGGCGGATTCTCTCGTGTCCGAGAAAATCAAGCGCAGAATTTTATCCACGTTTCTCTCGGCGAAGGTATATACGTGTTCCTTTCACACGTCCTTCTTCACCCCGTTTCTGTCGCCGTATATTCGCGCACTGTCTCTCGAACGCACGCATGTAGGAATGTACATTCGACAAAGTAACAGGAATCGATCGGTACGCCCGGTATGGCTGGCATAAAACGACAAGTCCGGCTCGCCTACCGTCTCGCGATTTAACGGTAACGGGATCAGCTAACGACATTTCACTGCGTCTCGTTATAGCTTTTTAAAGTTAAGGGATGTTTACGATATGAGAACACGAACACGAAAGATCTAGCGTCAATCATCTAAATCGCTCTTCTAAGAACTTCAGAAAGTAAATTTCAAAATCACGAAGATGAAGTTTAATTAAAATTTGACCTAGTTTTCAAATAACAATATAAATCAGATTTTCAAGACAATCTCAAATTAAATTTAATGTTCTGTTTCCTCGAGTTTTTGAAAGCAAGTGTGCTAATCATCTAATTGATTAAAGCGTTCATATTCAAAATATTCTCACGTCGTTTTGCATTGAATCTCATTTACCTTCTCTCGCTATCTCTTTCTTTCTCTACAAAGCAATTCGGCAGCTCGCCTAAACATAACGATTCGCTTTCTCGCCTGGGAATTCGTGATCACGAACGACGACGTATAAATAGAATATGTTCTTTCCGCGTGGTCTTTTGCCTCTTTTCTTCACCGTCTATTTCCCCCGACCTTTCTTACTTACGACATGCGTCTGGTAATTAAGTAGAAACATGCACGGAGCCGGAGAAAAAAGGCATCGCATAAACTGAAAGAGACACGGTCTGAAAGTTTATTAACCCAACAACCAAAAATCGAAAGAAACGTTGATGATATCACTGATTCTCTTTCTTGTAATCAAATAAATAAATTTAAATATTTATTCATTATTTATATAGTACACTCTAAATATGTAGCAATGAAATTTTACTGCATTAAATTGAAATTGCAATACAGGCATTAGTGCAGGCAATTGCGCCAATGTTACTGCCAGTGAATTTTACTGCAAGATGGGAATGGAAAATTTATTCGATAATTGGAGTAAAAAATTTACTTCAAAATGGAGTAAATTTGGAGGTTAGAATAATGACAGAATAATGTCATTCCAAATCCAAATAACAAAGTCTACGGAGACAAATTTTGAACAGAGCATACTATCAATCTATTAACCTATTAACCTTATTTTTAATTATAAATTTTTGAAAAAAATTATATACGTTATAAATTTAATCTATCTAATGGTAAAATAATGGTTTAATGATATAATGGTATATACGTATATAATTTTGACAAACGATAAACATGCGACAAACGACAATAACGGTGCGCTATGTCGCTAAATTCACTCTTTGCAGTAACATTCAATGCATTATCAATTAATACTTACTCCTAATCAGTCCACTCCTTTATATGTATAAAAGTAGATAGATTAACTTCAAAGCAGTGAAAATCCATACTTAAAGCAATGACTTTGCTACTCACTTTTGTTAGCAGTAAAATTTTCATTGCTACAGATTTAGAGTATATTATTTACATTTTTTAGTTAAATTTTTGAAAATGTATTTTATAAAAAAATTTATCTGTTTTTTAATCATCTTGACCTACATATTGCTTTGACAGTTATCCTTATATATTCGTGAGTACCTGTGTAAATTATACAATATTTAATAAGATTAATAATATCTTCGATTTAATATAAATTAATGCTTTTATTTTATTAATTTTTATCGCCTGCCAATGACGTAACACTTGAAAAAAAATAAATGGTCGCTTTAACATGTCACACAATTGAATTCGGTAATCACCTATGCCGGCTCACTGATAACTGATACTAATAAGCACACGTCCTTGCATTCGATCGTGAGCGAGTCGTTTCGCGTGTAGCGATGTTTCCTCTATTGCAAAACGACGGTAATCGCGCCAACTACGGTAACACTGTAGTAGGAAAAGATCTCTCGAATCGTCCGATAATTGCAGTTTAAATATTCAATAAATTCCCGTTACACGCTGACATACTTCTTCGTGGAAATTTTACTCGTCGACAAAACGATTGTCCCCCCTCCTCCCCTCAAAAAAGAACGTAATTTGCTCATACTTGCATTCTCGATTATTGATATAGCCAATTTTGTATAAATAATAATTATCCGAAATGCAAAAACTATTATATATCCAAAAATTTAAAAAAATAACTTAAAAAAAAACTCTTGAATTCCTTAGTTACGAATTGAATATTTTAAACTGTGTCAAAACCTTAAAAATTGTGTTAAACTTTATGAATCAAAAGAGAAAAGTGAATAAAGTAAAAGAAGTTAAAAGCTAAATTCCTACTCTATACTTTGACTAATCTAAATTTACTAATTTTGTATTTTTATTTACTATTATTTTTTATGAAACTCATTTTGCAAATTTTTCTATTAAATTCAATATTTTATTTTTATTTAAATTTAACATAAATATAAAAGATGAGAAAACGTTGCATTTTTTCAATAAATGTAGTGATTTATAATATAGGATGTAATTTTTTTTGTTAATACGATAATAAAAGTGCTCTTTAAAATCATATAATTTTATATTTAATATTTCAATTTTATTTTATTCAATAACCTATTTTAAGATTTAATTGATTTTGCATCAACTTTTCCATTTCAAAATTAGCTAAATCCTGTTTTCAACTTCAAAAGCAGTCAAATAACATTGTACATATTTTTATAAACAGAAATTATATTTCTCATGCCAAATTATATACATTTGATTAACTAAAACAATAAAGTTTTTTAAATTAAAAAAAGATATTTTTGATAGCTTGAATGACCATAAAATTGTACAAATTTTTTCATTCTACTCAAAAAACATTTTAAATGGAGATAACTATTTTTGCAAACAGGCTACTTAATTTATCATGTCTTTTTCAATCCTATTCACTTATAAACGTTGTGTTCTTAAACACTAAATGGTTTCGCATTGTTTTCTATTTCTTACTGTAATCTCAACACTAATTGTGAAACGATTAGGGAATGGAAGTAACTTGTAACGCCGTTACTTCTTTATCATTACTCTGTGATAATAACGATTTGTCAATGTTCAATTTTTTGTGAACTGTAACAGTAACATCAGAGTTCGAAAGTCACTCGTTACTGGAAAAATTAATTCGGCATTTATAACTCGTTATTTTTTAGTCGTTACAAGTAAAGTTACTCGTTGCAAATTGCCTTTTTCAGTAAGTAAAACGCATGATGATGCAAGTTACTTTTCAAAATAGACTTTCTCAACCTTAGCGTAATTTCAGCGTTTAGTTAGTTATCATTCTATTTAAAAATTGCAACATCAAATTCTTATTATAAAAAGTAACGGAGAGAATAGTAACTCTTCCATTCACTGGAAACGATACCTTTGACTGTAATTAACTGAGTCTTATCTATATACTACGTAGATGGAAACGTATATATAAAATATGTATGACTTACCCGTGTGTCTAAAACTTCCATTATCTTCTCCTTTGCTGATCGCACATCATCTAGTCGTCCTGCGACTTTTATATGCGGATCTGCGAAAAGAAGGTAGAAAATCTAATTACGGTGACGATCACGTGTGGGACACATGTGGAAGTATAAGGGAACATAAACGGCGGCAGCGAGTCGCGCCTTTATTATACTGAGCAATCAATTATAATTGACCTCGTTAATTACACGTTACGCGACTAAACTTCATTCCGTGCATAGCAAAATAAGCGATTAATCTGATATAATAGCTTTCGTTTTAGAGAGCTGACAAATAAAAAACATAGATTCTTCTTTAAAAGTATTTTCCACATATGTCTTTCGGATTGGTTACATATGTCACACAGTGTTTTCACATATATTTTTTTCAGATTGACTAATATAGCAAATGCCTCAGGCAAAGTGGGTTAAGTTAAGACAAAGAATTTCGTCGACATACCATCATCGACGCCGAGTTTGACCGACACCGAATATACGTCCACCGACATAAACAGTCATCGATTTTTGTGTATCGTCAGAAATGTTTGGTTTGTTACGCGCGATTTGAAAACAAAACATCCGTAAAACTGGGTGAAACTCGAGGTGAAACTGTTTCTTTATAAAGGTCGACGAACTCACCGCGCTTCAGACACATGTAACCAAGGCGCCAAAAGCCTGCAGCAAAGTATACAGTTATATCGATTCAATGAAATTGGAGACACAAAACGCTGGTGTATGTTGAATACATATTATCGGCCAATCTTGACGTCGATGATTTTGTGATATGATGTGATCCCGAAAGAAATTACGCGCAGGGCCCCGAAGATAGAAAGACGCCGCTGGCGACTGCAGAAAACCCGATAGCAATCGATAGCTATTTTGAAGTCAATCTTAGTATTCGCAACGTTTGCTTTTTCCTCAACGCAAGGCCTTCGACTGTATAACGTGTTCCAAAGTCGAGTGCGACGCGTCATTGACGCTGTATAATGATCGCACGTGCGCGTTCCGCTTATTACTCGATCCTTGTCACGCACGGATGAGACTCGATAATTCATTTATTACCGATGATTATCAAAAATTAGAAATCAATCATTAAATATAAATAGATATACGCGCAAAATAGAAAATCATGATTCATCGATCGATACGTTTAAAAATGCGTGTAAAATGTGAGTTTTAATAGAGACAATTGACGTTCCTTCGATGAAAATTTCGCTAATAATCTAGTTATATAATTTTTCTTATTTTTATTTTTCTTCTTTAAACATTAAAAAATTTTTCATGCATGAGTATATATAAATATGTATAAACACACATAAACACGCATAAATATTCATAAACATGTATAATTCTATATGAAATATGTCCATACATGTTTATACATCCTTTTTTCTTTTATAAAATTACTTTTTAGTGTAATAGAAATAATAATAGTAATATGAAAACATAAAAAATAATTATAAGGATAATTTTCGCGTTATTTGTTTTAGAAAAAATCAAGTTTGAAGAAATGTAAAAATATTATATTTATGTATAATTATATATAAAATTATGCATAATTATATGTGAGCAATTTTTTTTACATTTTTCCAAACTTGTTTTTTTCTAAAACAAACAATGCAAAAATTATTCCTTTAATTATTTTTTATATTTTCACATTGCTATTATTATTTCTATTATACTAAAAAGTAATTTTACCCAAAAGAAAGAAGAATATATGAACATGTATAGACATATTTCATATATAATTATACATGTTTATGAATATTTATGCGCGTTTATATATGTTTATACATATTTATACATAATTATGCATGAAAAATTTTTTACTGGGATAAAAAGTTCTGACGCATAACTGGATAATGAGATTTTAATTTTGTATTACTCTCAAGTGGATTTGCCTTAACAGAAATTGGATCGAATATCCGATTATTAAAATACCGTGATTTCAGTGATATTTTCCATACAGTAGAATTGAGAATTATTTTAAGATTTTGGCACTATCGAATTCTATTCCCGAACGGAGAATCTTCTGCGCAGAGAAAGAAAAACAGTTTTCGGAACTTCGCAATCAAAACAACGATACCATATCATATAATTGTGAAGCAGCTCCTTATCTCCTTTTTCTTATCTCTCCTTAATTATGTAAGAGATAATATCATGGAAAATAACGCAATACTCGATAACGTGCCTTTGAAAATCGGAATCCGATTAAATTCACGACTATAAGCACTTAGTTGGTGTCTAGAAACTGCAGCGTTATAATGCGATTATCTATCGGTCCTCGCGACACAATCCGTGATTATTTTTAGAATCGACGCAACGGTAGCACGCGGACTCTTCGAGTGCAAGACTTTGAGACCTGACCTGACCTCTTTAGCGCCGAGCATAGAAAGTAGATGAATCCTGTTTGCACAAAGCGATAAGGAGTGTCGGCTGCCGTTGCAGTAACAAGAGAGGGGCAGTATCGGAGGCTCGACTGATTATCTGAATGATACAAGGTGTTCCTTAATATATAATGTGTACACTGCTATGTTTCACGATAAATTCACGTAGAGTCCATACAAGGAAAACAATGATAACGATGATATATACTATACGAAACGAAAAAAAGCTATGATAATTGTCATATAAGAATACTTACAATATTTTCGTATCTGGATATATTGAAGTTTAATAATCGTTTTCAAATTATTTTTAATTATTAAACTTTTTAGCGAATATTTATAATATTTAATAAAGAAATTTTTAACAAAAGAATAATTTTAAAAGTTGTCCTTTTATGCTATTGCTTTATATGTTTTCACAACTCTATTGTATTCTCACGACGAATCTATGTTCTGTAAAATTGTAACAAATTTAAGCAAAACTTTCTCGTGATCGCACGATAATCTTATAAATTTTCTCGATTTAGGTCAAAAATAAAACCAGTTAAATTATTTGATGAAGCAGCAACGTTGCAAAGTCACGCGATAGTTGGTTTTTAAATTTTGTTGTTTACTTCACAAACACGCATCGTTCAATACAAATTGACTAAATATAACTATGATGTGACGGGCAAACAGAAAACTGGCAATTTATCGAGAAATAATTACAGCTCTAATTATGCAATTAACCCAAGCTTGTTATCTCTTCACCTATTTTATTCTTCAATTTAAATTTTTCGATATAAAGTTCATTATAAACCGGATGTAAAACTTATTATATGATTTAGTTTAATAATATAATAATAAATTTCAGTTTTATTTAAATTCAATTTATTAAATTGAACCAATCAAATTTATAGTTTTGTATTTGCGTCCATTTTTTTATTGGTTGCATCACGAGATGTATGTCTTTCAGTTTTACTGATGATACGTTGGACAGCTTTGCTGTATTTCTAGAAGATTACCATCCAATCCAGGCACAAATATCATGCTAAGTAACAGTCATTATAGTCCACAACTCTACACTATCGTATAGTTAGAAATGTCCACTAGAGAAAAAAGTTACATGTAGTCTTATCACTCAAAGAGTAGCGTGGCTTACGTGACTCGCGGCACATCGACATCTTCACGCAGCAAAGAATTAGAACGGCTGCGTGATACTGATTGACGCTTAATTCGATCACAGACAATTATCCGGTTGGTTAGGCTGAACTAGAATCCCGCTGATCTCGCTGCGCAAAATTCACGACAGCTTCGAGAGCAGGTCAAATCACAAGGTGATATCCTATCACGACACGGGGGAGATAACTCGATAATATCTATTAACCCTGAAGAGCGCATGATGTGAGTCAATTTAACCCATTCGTTGCCTCGAATGCAAATTCCATTTCGAGTATTACGTCTATACTAGAGTACTTATTGCCAATTGTGATTTGTTATAAACTGCAAGATCGCACATATTGAAATATATACGGAATAACAAGTTCATAGACTTTTTACTCAAATTTACTAAAATTTTTCCAATTAGAGATTACTTGATCAATTTGTGAAATTATTCATAAATATAATTTGATTGAATTTTTTTTTATATTGTAGTCATATTAATTCGATTACGATTAGTCAAAATTTTATTATGATAAAATTCTCTTAAGAAGACGACAATTTAATAAGTGAATGGAATACACTTGAAAAAGAAATCTTTTTTATATACCTCACCTGCTTCATAAAAATTCCGTCATTTTTTATCTAATTTATTTGGAAGATATAAATATATACTGTAATAATGTAATTAATGTAATACTATGTTTTTAAAATGTTTAAGTTAGTTGGAGTCTTCACATATAATCGCAATCATTTTAGAAAATATTCTACATATAGCTTTAAAAAAGTATGTAAACATACTCAAGTATGACACATCTGACACACATACTTGAAATAGGTATATCAAACAGATCCAAGTAATATTCCACAAGCAAATTTCTATGGAATTTAAACTCTTGCGACAGATTCTTGCGTTATCATTCGCCCGTCATCGACGTTTCCGCGATTACATAAAAGAAATTATTATAATGAAACTTGTGAATAACCCATATCGTGCATCTGCATCGCATATGTTGAGCACCTTTGTTTTTGTGGACTTGGGTATATATGTGTAAGATAACTCATACATTCTAATGATAATCTAAAGTCGTAACGAGCTTTGTGTACAAGTTTATTTATATCCGATTACATAGGCTACCACATACGATTGGATTCGTAAAATAAAGAAAAAGAAAAAGAAAAGAGAGAAAGAGAGAAAGAGAGAGAAAAAGCATATGCAACAGCTGTTTAGGTCACGAGAGAGGAATGAATCACCGAAAAATTTCCACAAGGTCCGATCGTACGAAGCGACGACGCTGTTTCAAGCGGACGAGAGAATTCTCTGGATCGATCCACATATCATAATTTATTATAATTTGTATCGAGAAATAGACGATGAATTAATCTTACAATCGATGTGAGGAACAATATGGATGAGTAATTAATTATAGCAAATCTAGAAACTTTGAATTTTTATATTTCCGCCCTTTCGACCTTTTTGAAATTTTTATTGTGTTATCTTTTGATCCTCAATTATTTTTAGTGACTCGTTAAAAATTTATGGATTATCAAATGAATATTTCATAATCGAGAGATAATATTACAAAGTATAAAAAAATTACTGTTCTTTATTTAACTGCACTCTGTGTTCGTTATTACTACGTTACATACATTAATTATTGTTATTACTTATGTTAATCCGCTTCTATCTATTAGAATTTCACAAAAAATATGTGAATTTAAATTTTTATTAAAATTGGAAAATATTAATGATAATTTCAATTAAATCGAAAATTTCTTTTAAAGTTTTCTCGTAAGTTTCGGTGTTGCATGGATCGAATTAATCTCGAGTTTCGCGAGGTATGTAAATTTTTTTCTACAGCCAGTGATGAAACTTTAAATAACGATCATAAAGCCACGTGTGTAAAACGTCAGCTGACGAAGAAACATGACCGATCACTCGGTTGACGCAATCCACGAACAACGCGTATTCGCACGACTACGCACGAGTCCGAATGCGAAGAACGTACGAAGAATCACGAAGGATGATTTTTGCGTCTCCTACGAGTATAATATTCCAAGGACGTACGACACACCGAATCTGAATTCCACGTCGTGTCGCCCTCGAACTATCGATAGCTTCCGCTTGCACGCTCATTTCGTATTATTCTCTCGTTTGTCACGAGAAATACAGCAGTTATTTCCGAATGTGCGAAATACTTATATTTTTAGGTGAATTTTGAATAATCGATAAAACCAAGAGATTTACGTATTACTCCTTTTCTTTCGCGCGCGCGCGTTATTAATAATTTTAGAAATAATTTAATTATTTTTCATTAGAAAATACAATTCATTTGGAGTGTGTGTCACGTTGTCTTAGGATTAAATAACAAATAAGATATCTCCGGTCTAATCGTATTTTGTGCCTTTGCACTCGTTAATGGATTTTGTCGGTGCCAGACGACGGTGGCAATACTATTGTGTCTAAGTAGTTAAAATAAATCAGTTATTTTAGAAAGAGCGTTGCTCTCAAATTTCCATTTGTTAGAAAACTCAAGGAAACATTCGCTTATATTGATGAACCTAAAGGTATTTTGCCATGTCATGGCCTATTGTGTAACCATCCCAATAGCTCAAATAACGTCTTCCTTGCACAAATATATGAAGCAAGATTTATTTCGGTCATTGGTATAATACTTAAAATTTTAGATATTCCTATGGAGTATTTTCTTATTCAGCCTGTAATATTTGTACATATAGTACAAGAATACAAATTTCTATTGTTATTGACATGTTTACAAAACCTTTTCTACAAAACCTTTTCTAAAATACAATCCGTAACAGATTGCTTTTAAAACGGATTCAATCGATCGATTGCTTACCTTTCTTCGACTTTGCCCCGATTTTCAGTCTTGATGGCCATGTAACAATGGTGTTTGTTCTCTCCATAACCTGGAACAATACAAAATCGCTATTGTTATGCACCGTATAGAGAATAATTTCTTCAGAAAATAATTCGTTTCACATAGATATTTCTCTTCCATAATTTAATAATAGAAACACATGCGCTACAAAGTATCTCAAAGAGATTTCGGAAAATTTTCCATCTTTGTTTTTTTTTTGCAACTTTAGGCAATTACTGAATCTATAAATAAAATTCCAGAAGTAAAATATTTGTTAATTATATAACGAGCGATATGATATCTTTAATACTTTTTTAAAATTAGAGATTCATTTTCTGTATAACATTTGTCCGATGATTCGACTCGTTGTTTAAAGCTTCTTATCAATTTTTCAGATTATCTCGCTTTCCACGTAACCTTCACGAATATTTAATCTCCTCGACACGTAGCTTTTGCTTATCAAAATTATACAGTGACTGTTATTCACTTTCTGGAACACAATCCTTATCATTCCGAGATTTTATCAATTTCCTAGTTGTATTTTTTATATAATTCTTCCAACATTTAATTTTTTACACAAACAGTTCCCAATTTTAGATAAACATGTCTATCTTTGGTTGTGCATTCATCATGAAGAAATAACAATAATCATCATGAAGAAATAAATATAACTTGCGTTATAAAATAAAAAAAATCATTAGTCTGTTTTTTAATCTATTAATTAATTTATTCTTTAATCGATGACATTAATTTGCAGTGAACATTTAGAATTTATAGAAAACCTAAATGGATTTATTAATTAACTTTTACATAATTTAGATTACGAAATAATTCTTTTTCCTTGATGTTAAGAAATCGTTTCAACTGCAATCTCACCTGCATAATATTGAACTATTATTCTCATTATTAGAATTTTAAAAAGGTTACAATAATAATGATTCAATTTTAGTTGAAAAGAAATTTGTTCTAAAATTATCGAAGATTTTGTACAATATATGAAAAAGCTTCACAAGTAAAAGTATTTTTTTGCATGCAATTTCTATTTTTAATTCGTATCTTCACCTCTCCGAGTTATTAACTGTCTGCATGTAACTTCTAAGTTTAGACAAAAGACAACTATTTTTAGATGCAGCCTTCCTCACGTAACTTCTAGCTTCGACGAGAAACTTGACTGTCTTAAACTATGAATTAAATTAAATAAAACTCAGAATAATGTTATCATTTGTTCTTCAAAACTTAATTATTAAACTGGAATAATTAAAATCTAGTATTATGAACTATATATAGAATTTAATATCATTAACTCTCTAGATCGTAAGTATTCCAATCACAACTAGCGTTAAATGCAGTTATTTTTCCGAAAGAATATTGCATGCAATCTTCATATGAAAGAAAAAACTTAAAATTGAGCGAACACAATGTGAGCTACTAAAGAATTCTAATTCGGAATTACGACATTTATCATTACCACGGTCATTTTCGTTGAATATTAGTCTCTCAATTGTCGATGTTCAGCTGCGAAAAGGTCTTCGAAAAGAAAGACAATAAAAAGTAATAGTCAAAGAGTAAGTTTCTACAAGAGACAAGAACGCGTTTCACAGTTATCACTTATTAAAAGCTCTATGCAATACAGAGCGACCTCGAGAGTGGGAGGTGAATGGATCACGATAACTTTCACGATAACGATAACGGGTCACTTGGCTGGATTCTTATAGGCACTGAAGCGCTAATTGCACTGCGGGTGAATCGAGTCGCCGGATTTACTTTCACTCCAGCCACCGCTGATCGCAGTAAAACATCCCGGAAGATCATGCGGTCGCTAATTAACTGATCTTTCCACCTCGCGCGACGTAAGTAATTGTCTCCGTGAGTTTGTCGACCTCACGATCGACCTCGTTAAAGATCCGGCGATCTCCGACAACGCGAGAATTCGAACTGCCTTTTAACTACTTTGTGTCGAAGACCATCGATCGATCGATCGCGATTCCTATAGCTCTGATTACGTTTACCAGGCGGCACTTTACTAACTCTACTTCATTTCGTTGTGTGATATATACGTGTGGATCACTTAAAAAAATACCACGGTTCTAATTGTTTTTCAAATTTTCCCCTTTCGAACTTGTTTACAACCGAGTTCCACCCGCAAAACACATAGAATTTCGAGCCAAGATGTTTTTTTTACGGCAAAATTCTTGTCGTCGAATCATAAGATTACCGCGGGATCACTGGCACGAAAGGAAACTGACTAACTGACTAACGCGAGATAATATAACGGGTCGGTCCGGTCGAATCACCTCCCACTACGTTCTCCAACTCCCGCCACCAGTCGCGACTTCACTTCACTGCGCACCATGTTGGCCTCTCGTCATCGCGACCCTGCCTCCGCGAATCCCCTTTCTTCACTTCCTCACCTGGTAGCTTTGCGAGCCTCTGTTGCTTTACAAAGACAAATTCAGACTAATCGTAAGACGATTATAGAACATACAGTTCCGGTCTGATAGGCATTTCAAATTTTCCTATTGTTTCGAATTTTTTTTTTCTTCGATAGGACTGAAGCTCGCTTAGAATAGAAGAATCGAATATTCAAGAATATTCAAGAAGAATCGAATATTCGAACATATATTCTCAAGCGAACATGTAGCTTCGATGAGTTTCAAGTACTCCAAAATTATGAACAAGAATTTACGCAATTTTTAGGAAATTCGATCTTTTTTTAAACTTATCGATATAAATATTGCAACTTTTTTTATTTGATATAACACAAATTTATATGATCGCATTCCAAACACATTTTTCGACTATCGAATAAAATCTCCCGGTTAATCTAGAATAACATATGTTGTAGTAGATCATATGATTATCTTATTCTGTTGAGACACACGTGTGACATGCGTGTTTTAATACTTTTAATGATACGCGACAACCTTTAGACTTTCATGTAATAGTAATGTGGACCTACGCGCGTCCGAAGTGCTTGTATATTTTCTATTTATCCTAAATTATTAGATATTAAATATTAAAATTTAAATATCTAACTTACCAGATCTACATCTGCGAAATGAACAATCGCCTCGCTTTCTTTGGAAAAATTTAAATCACAACAGATATGGTCGGAACGTTCCATTTTTTCTTCGAATTCTCTTCACTCACAGTATAAGTTATTCGGAGATAATGTTGTAATACAAATAGACACTGTAGATACTATATCAGCACAAATATCCGCAATTACCGGCTTATATATTAGCCTATCTAGCGTTACGAAAAAAGGTCAACATTTTTAACTACAACACAGTTAGCATAACATATTCCTGTTATAATCGCGAAGAAACATAAAATGCTCTGACTTATTAACTATAATTTGCACTACGTATTTTCTGTATCACGAAAAGACTAGAAGCTACTCCGATTTACTCTAACGACTAGCTACCTGTCTTGACTAGAATACCTGCAATACTGAACTGAGCATTACTATATAGGTTGGTCCAAAGGCCAGATGCAGGTAGCGGTTCGTTTTTCGGGGGTTGCATTGTTCGGGATTCTGAAAGGGCGGTTCTCTAAAAGCCGAAAGGAAGCTGATTGGATGGCAACTCTTGCTGAGCAGTTAACTGGTCATTGATCCGAAATTTTGTATAAGGGGGGACATCTTTTTAAAAATTTTGATCTAAAAAATTAATTATTTATTTGTCATATAACGTTCTGTTCTAATGTACCTAAACAAAAAAGCTTCACAAAAATAACCGCGTATTTATGAATCTTAGAAGCTAAAATTCTCGAATTGTGTACGAATATTTTTTATACGTCTAAATAATAACATTTTTTATTTTCGATTATTATTAATATACTTGCATTTTTTAAATTATTAAATAATTTTATTGAAATGATTATTAAATCATTTGTTAATAAATTGTTCATTATTTATTGTTATTTTATTTTCTAAAAATAAGTTTTTTTTTAATTAAAAAAAGATCTCCCGCGTACCTTTTGCACTCACTGTAAGTATATGTGTATAAAACACAACCACTCTTTCACGTTATCGTATTTACATGCGATATAACAGCAGTTTTTGCTGCAATGTTTATAGCAACGATAGTGATTGTAACAACAATTGCATTTACAATGCAGCGGTAATAGCACAAAGTTGTACATAGATATCTCAGCACTCAACATTGAATGTTTGACATCTACAACTCCATAAACTTCTGCACACTACCATAAATTCTTAAAAATCCTACCTCTATAAATCAAAGGAACTCAGGAGATAAGATAAACTTTCGCTTGTTGAAACTCATAAAAACGATGAACAGTGATTTTCTAAATATAAAGCTTACTTCTTTTTCATAAAATTTTCTTGTAACAAATATTATAAGAAATGTGAAACCAAAATTTATCTTTTTTTTTGTTTATAGTAACAAGTTCTTTTTTCGTCTTTGTTTATTTTGTCACAAATTTTTTTATCATTAAGGGTTTGTATATTTAAATATGCTCCAATGTGCTCCTACCATAGCACTTACTCACTCCAATGCGCTTGTTAGAATGAGTAAATAGTATCACTGTAAAAAATAAAATACTAAATGTTAATTTTAATTTGCATCTCAGAAAGTCCACTATACGTCTTTAAGTTAAAATTGACATTTTATTTTCTACAGTGTAGAAACATGTTAAAATATGTTGAAGCATGCGACGTGAACGACAAACCTTAAGCTATTATGAAAACAATTGACAATTTTTCCTTTGACCATTAGGGCCCAGTTCCACAACTGACGGTTAACTCATAACCGAAGTTCAACTTATTCATTGTTTCTTTCCAATTTTAGAATTGGAAAAAGATGAGAAACAAGTCAAATCTCGGTTTAAGAGTTAACCATGAGTTGTGAAACTAGGCCTAAATGTACTTTCCTTTGACCATTAGAAACCGAAAGAATCTTTGAAAGTTTACACCTTCTTCCTTAGTAAGATTTATTATAATTCGTCGTATTCTTTGCTTTAAAATACCTTACCATTTCTAAACAATTACAGCGCTTCTTTGGCTTATTAAGGTTAACAATTAAATTTTAGTAAATCTTCAAAGAAACTTAAACAGCTTGGACAACTTTGACTTCGATATATAGACTATAGACGATTCATTCTCAGAACAGAGATATTTATCCACGATGACCAGGTAATTGTTAAATTAAAGCTAATGACTCAGGAATCAATATCTGTTACACAAGATTATCAGTTGTTTTTACTAAAAATTTATTACAAACTTAATTTATTGTTAAAAGAAAATATATGTTATTGTGAAAAAACTGTCATTACTTTGGTGATGGCTTAATGATAACACTGGTCGATAAAAATTCAATCTTCTTTTGGGCTTAAAGTAAAATAAACCAACAAATATCTAAATTAAGGCTCGAAAGAATCTATCAATAATAATAATACAAAGCAAGCCCGTCAGAGCCAACATCAGTTGTTCGGATGCACAATTTATTTTCGTGTGAATTTAACAAATCATATCAAAAATATACATATACGTTTCGACCCTTATTCGGGTCCTTTTCAATATAACAATTACATCCGATTACGTAGTACTCGTTCATTCTTTTTTATGATTATCCAATTTCCTGATTAGATAAAATGAAAAACGGAGTCCAATACATAGTGTCGAAAGTAGAAACACATTGCTAAACCAAGTTGTTTCTGATAGATTTTGTTGCACTGATTAAGAATCTGGCCCCGAAAATGTCGTATCAGGTCAAATTTTTGAAATATTCTAAAGGTTAAAAAATGAGGTTTCTGGTTACTTTCAACGACTTAAAAAAGATCTAATTTTTTTTAGCATCCACGCGGATGTCACATTAAAATGTTATTCTTTTTCAAAAAAAATTATTAAACATTTCATAAGTCGTTGAAAGTGGCCCAAAACTTTATTTTTTCCGCTTTTAAGTTACGATATCTCAAAAACTTGACGTGATACGACATTTTCAGGGCCAGATTCGTAATCAGCGCATCAAAATCTACTAAAAACAACTTTATTTACTTTAAGGCCAAAATGGTATCGATCAATGTAATTAAAAATCAATTTGCAATGAAATAAATACAAACAGAAAATAAACAAGAAAAAAAGATATTTTAAGAAAAGAAAGAGAAATTTTCGTCACATTTTGATTTCTTAAAAACATTTGTTGCAGGAGGATTTTTCTTAAGATTTTTCAAGTTTTCTGAAGCTATTATCAAAACAATTGACAATTTTTCCTTTGACCATTAGGGCCCAGTTCCACAACTGACGGTTAAGTCATAACCGAAGTTCAACTTATTCATTGTTTCTTTCCAATTTTAGAATTGGAAAAAGATAAGAAACAAGTTGAATCTCGGTTTAAGAGTTAAATACAAACAGAAAATAAACAAGAAAAAAAGATATTTTAAGAAAAGAAAGAGAAATTTTCGTCACATTTTGATTTCTTAAAAACATTTGTTGCAGGAGGATTTTTCTTAAGATTTTTCAGGTTTTCTGAAGAAAGAAATTCATGTTCCTAAATTTACTCAGATAATAGTAAAAATGCATTAATCTAAAGTGTATATTTATACCATCTATGTATTTAAAAAATGTCGATTGGTTCTGGAATATTGTAATAACGGAGATTGTAAGGTCATAAAACACATATATATTAATATTTACGCTTTAAACAAACTATATACATGTGAAAGTTGTATTCATAACATAATGTTTTTATTGAATAACACATTTTTATAGATTATTTATTTTATTTATTATTAGTTTTATTGTTATAAACAAAATTTTTTTAAATAATAACAAAAATCTAAATTTTTTTATATAAATATTTTATATAAATATTTTACTAAAAACAACTTATGCAAAGTTTCATTGAGATTCACCAATTAATTTATAATAAATATTTTGTTTATTTACTGAACAATTAATGTCTGCATCTCAATGTAACTTTACATAAATATTTTTGAATTCATAAAGTACTTATATTTAAAAAATTGAGATTTTTTATCGTTATTTTATAATACATTTCCATATATTTCTATTAGAGTACAAATTTAAAAAATATTACTTTTTATTAAAATAACTTTTCATCCAGTCAATTGTCTCTAATTTTTTGTATTACTTGTAAATGCAATTTAGAATAATCTGTAATTTTTTCAAGTAATTCTTAACATATTGCATTTGCCTTACAACCTCCTTAACTTTCTTCTTTTTCTGAGATTTATTATTCTGTTACGTAGGTAATCCGA